TTATTTGTATTATATACGTGTACAAATTAATAACAATGTTGTGTCTCATCAGAATGGAAAATACCTGCGTAATATGTAATTAAGTAGTACTTCCGTCTTGTTTTAAATCTTGAGGTAAAAGTTTGACGTGTAATCAGAAGAACTGCTTCGGAGTAGGTAGGTACGGCAAAGAAGAAAACGAATTGGAGAAGTGAAAAAAAAAGCGAAAATCGGAATGCGAATATGGAGAGTAACGGATCCTTAAAAAATACCGATGGATCCGTACGGCGCGATGTCATGCGTAATACTGGCACCTGGGTATACAAGCTACCGAGCTGAGAGGAAGGAGTGTATGCGAATACACCGATCCGAACTAAGTTGCGACGAATCACCTCGCAAGGATGTGTGCAACCGAAGAGTGAATTTTCTTCGACTTGGCTCAACATTGAATCGTATTTAAAAAATGTAAAAAAGAACAGAATAAAACAGAATAATATGTAATATGTTTACAGGTATAAAAAGTGCAAAAATTGAATTAATATTTTAGGAAACTAGGGTATCTGTAGGCAAATGCGGACCGTTATATGCAAATGTCTGTCAGACATAGTATTGAATATGTACTCTTTGTAGCATTCTTCTAGTAAATAAAGATATTAATTTCGATTCTTTCCGATTCTTATTTAGTTCTCCTCAGATGAAAAAATTGTTTTATCTATTAATATGTAAAACTATTAATATTAATTATTTTTTGGGGGGAAATGCATATAAGAGTATAAATTTAATATTACACATGTACATTGGCAACAAATACTAAACTACAAGACTAATTGCTACTCGATCGTCCGCGATATGCGTTTTTAAATGCCTTTATTTTTAAATTTAAGTATTATATTATTAAATACTTTAAAAATATCATCTTAAGTATATCTTTTATTTAAAAATATTTAAAAAGGCATCGAGTTATGCAACAGCAAATCTTGCTTGCTGTATTCGTTAAATTTTCTGTCAATTTATCGTGCATATTTTCGCTCGACTTTTGTTTCTGTTGTTTGCTGTTAGATTATGTCAGCGAAGCTTACGCAGATTTTAGCACCAATTCTCATTTTATGTGCGTGAGCAGCGCAAGTTTTGCAAGCGAAACACAAGCCTAACATAGATGGTTTTGGTTTTAATACAAAATTTTGATTAAATTTGCTACCAATTTGCAAGATTGCTATCATTTTATTTAAGGAGATTGTCTTCCTTGCATGATCTGTTAAATATTCTATTTTGCATCATCATTTTTAAAATAAATTTTTCTATTCTACAGTACCATTTAGCATTATATCGTGCAATGTTTTCAATCCGTAATTCTTTATCAATTGAATTAAACAGTATCGTGGGAAAATCTGACTCTCCTTCTCTTCGCTTCTCTATCTGGTTTAATGCGATGGGAACGGATTCATCTTCGCAGTTTTGCATCGCCGACGGACTACAGACTTAATCCTTGACACGCATCATTGTGCCGTTATTAAATCGCGGTAGATCCTGTAGTTCTTTGAGGTACAGACGGTTATTATAAGCAGCGGCGATATTGCAGAGCGGAATTTACTGGTGAATTCAATGTGTATGTTGATGGAATAACTTATTCTGACCGACCACCCGAACAATTTACAGTGTTGCAATCTGCAGATAATTAATTGTTCCATTGTATGGTGTATGATAAGTGTTGTGAACTGATTTCGATCACAAACTTTATATGTGGAGGCAGTTGACGCTTTAATCTTCTGATAGAATATAAAACATTTTTTTCGATATGTAATCATGCATAATTTATATCAATATTCATATCACGTACATTAGTGCATAAGCGTTTATTGCACAACAGTTTTCATATATTTAATTATTTATTATCGAATTTTTCTCTCGTCTGAATAACTAAATAATAAAAAATAAAGTTTAAACAGAACTTATCTGCTGAAATAATTAATAGAATAATAATTAAAAAAAAAAACGGAGAGACCATGAAAAAATAGGATTATTTTATCATTAAAGACTAAAAGCGATTAAAATGGACTTTTTCTACTTCTACTTCTACTTCAGTATCATAAGGTTTAAAAAATATTGATCGTTATGTGAGAGGAGCGCATAATTACGCAAATATCAATATCTACAGTAATCGCATGCCAAAGTAGGACATTGCGAAACTAGCTTCGGGCCTCTAGCTTCGAGTCACTTTAGACGTACGCTCCCCTTTCTCCGGAAGCCCTTACTCAGTGGAAATATTCACAGCGAGATGTGTATTAAGATACACGAATATACATATATTATAGAAGCATATATATCTAAAATACATATACATATATTATAGAAGCATATATATCTAAAATTAAAAAATAGTAATAAAAAATAATAATATATTGAGAGGTAAAAAGTTCTCATAAATGTAAACATAAATCTCCTGAATAATTATTTAAAAATACGTTTACTTAGAACTTGAACCATCTTGCGATTAAAAATAATACCCTTCGTTTATTTTAATCACTGAAAATATAAACGTTTATATATAGATTTCAGCAATTGTAGAACTTTTTTGTAAATATCAGGATGTACACTTGAATTAATATTTTGTTTTAAAAAATCAGTTATTTTCTTATACCAACATATTCAAATACTTCAAGTTTTTTTAATTTAATAATTGTCAAACCTAGCTATTTATGTTATGTATGAGTATTTGGTTTAAATTCCATCGAGTATTTTGAAGAAATATTCCACCTGGAAAGATCCAACATACGTAAATTACATAAGAGAAACAAGTGACAAATGTGATTAAAATTGTAATTACCTCTAATATCCCGTCTTCCGGTAAGTCAGAGCAATGTATAGCATTTTGTACTTTCGTTTTCCCATACTTGGCTCTAAGCGTATTCGGTCTGATTTGCCGTGCAATGTCCTGTAATCAAATAAGTATGTCAATAACGCGAGGCAAAGCAATTAAAGTTGTCTGTACTTACCGGATCCATTGGACCGCATAAATTCCTAAAATCAGCAACTATGTTAGGGCTCTCGTCTTTATGGCTCACTTCCATAACAATGCACGGACCGGATTGTAATTCTGCTACCATCGCCTATAGCAAGTTCATGAAAATATTTCCAGCTTTAGAATTAATTACTTGTAAGAAGAGTATGTAAATATATAGAAACCTACGGTATATTCAGGAAGAACACCTTTATATATTTCTAAAAATTCTTCGGAATTAATTGGATTAACATAAAATTGTTGTACTGCGGTGATTGTGTAGCCTGCTTTCTGAATTTCATCGAAAATGGCACCTGGATTATAAACATAAAATAAAATTGATTGAAAAGAATATATCATCAGATAGAGGTTTCAAAGTTATATGAAAAATTCCCTTAGTTGCTATTTTACAATTTTCTTTTTTTACATATTAAATAATAAACAAAATAAACTTACCAAGAAGCCCTTCTTGTACAGCATGTGGCTTGATAATGCAACAGGTGCAGTTTTGTAGAGTTGCAGTGTTTTTCAGACCTTTATTTTTACATTTCGAGTCAGGAAAGAAGTATTGCAATTCCTGAAAATATCCAATCAGATATTATATCAAGATATATGTTTTTAGATTAACTATTGTACATTAGAATTTGTACCTGCATTGCTGTTTCAGTATCTTTGGATCCATATACGACATTATGTATATCATCTTTTCCATAACAAGCTCTTAATGAAGATGCTGCTATTGAACGTGCATCCTTACTATCTTCTGGGCCTGCCAGTTCTTGCCACTTCATTATACCATTTCCTCCTAATAATTCTAAAGCAACGACAGGGCCAGATATAAGATAATTTATAACAGACCTAGAAATAAACTTTTATAGCTTTTATAGCTTTATAACTTTTACAGTATCTAAAATTTACTAAAAAATAATAAACGGTTTACTTTTAGGACAAAGTTAGCAATTGTTAGCAATACAAAATTTAACTTACGTCTTATCGATTTCGTCTTTTACAAGATTACATTCTGCAATATCGTTTGGAGTTAATCTTAGCATTTTTATATTTGTGATATAAAAATCATAATTTATAATGGCTTTCAATATTTCACCCATTTTGTCAATAACATCTGGTTTCAGAAATACAAAAACCCTGAAAGAGTAAAATTATGTCAATTAAGTAAAAATATTTAAATACCAAAGATACCATATATAAAAATTATTTGTCTACTTACTTTTGTAGTTGAGTTTCTAATTTGGTTTTGGTACAAGCATCTGCGTAACCTGTAATTTTGATGCATCTTGAAAATATTGTGATTACAGTACCGACATAAAAGTCTTTAGCTGTAATGCCTTCACATGTTGTTCTTCTTAGGAAAGTCTTTTTTGTTTTTAAGTCAAACTGAAATAGAGCACACACACATATAGTCCCAACATTTGTTGTGCATGGATGCATAAAGAACATTTAAAGAGAGAGCAACTTGATTTTAAAATAAAACTATACGGTTTTTCTTACATCATACGATTCCTCTAGTCATTTTGCATATAAAATATATATTAAGATAAAATTATAAAAAAATTAATACTTTACAAGACATTTAATACTTTATTTTGATATATCTTGATATAAAATATACAATATCTTGAAAAATATTAATTTCTAAATTATTTTACTTTAATACTTTAACGTACAGAATAATGAGATAAATCAATTAACATATAAAAAATGCATAATTACTTTAAAGAAATAGATGCAATTTGTAATGCACAAATTATACATTTTATATCATTTTTTTAATATTATTTAAAATAGTAAAGATATTTAAGGTGCTTGAGTTTGGAATAAACACATATGGTATAAACATATGTACCATATAAACATATGGTATAAACATATGTAATACTAATTTGCACGTACCAATTCGACAGTATTATCAGATGGATAATAATACAGATAAAATTTCTTCAGCATACAGGCAACTTGGTCATACCATTCAGCTTCAAATACATATCTGTTGCTGTAATCTGCAGACATCTCAAAACTTGCATATTCTGACGTAACGTATTGCTAACAATAATTGACAATATGTGAAGAACGTTTAAAACTGCATCTCATAGAAATTAAACAGCTGGTTTTTATAAAATATAAAATCGTCACTTAGTTTAAGAAAAATATCAGGTTAATTGGAAATATAATTTAATTCGTTTCATACATATCGTTATATCATGTCCGAATATTTCAGCAATGTCATAATGTCAAAGACAAAAAGTTTAACGGAATAAAAAAAAACAATTGCA